GAAAGCAAGGAAAAATCGATACTTCATATGGAATATGCACTCTCCATGGGATTCAATGTATTTGTTATAAGCCTGAAGCACTGGGAAGTACAGAGAAAAGGGGTGGGGGGAGAACATTATTTCTAAGCTTCTCATGTCAAAAATTTCCAGTTCCTCTTAACAATTGTTTTAAAAACTGGTATTTTCCAACAATGTTAAAGCATGAAAGAAAATATTTACAAAAAAAAAATAATATCATTTCAAACATTTGCTATAGCTTCAGGGAACAGAGTAAAGGAAAGGACTTGGAACTGACTGGGAGAGGAAGGAAAAAGCACCTTCTTCTGCTCCAAGCATTCACATCCCGTGGGAAGTACACCTTCATGCTCTCCCAGTCTCCAGTAAGGAGTCCACGTTATCCTCTTTGGTTTACATCTCCTCAAGGCCTCCGGAGAGTATTCTCAACACCCATTTTTTTTTAGCTTCTCCATGATCCTTTCATGTAAACCAAAGCTGGCAGTGCAGCTCAATATGCATCTAACTGTAGGAATTAATTTTTAAAAAGAAGCTTATTCTTTAGATCATATTTGACACAATGGTGCAAAATAATCTTAGCAGGTGCTTTAGATGGTAAAATCCATTGAGTATAAAATTACAAATGGAAGGGGGAAGAAGACACTGAAAGACTATTTTCTATCACAAAGTTAAAAAAATAAATCCCACAAAGTAATATTTAGGTTTGGATGAGGATAAGAGACTGAAATTGGTTGTGTTCCCCTGGGCCCACAAGGGGGAATGGCAGAAGTATTTCTCTCAATGCAGACATGAGCCATAATATGAAAGCTGTTCAGATTCTGCTCTGTGACCTCGCTAGGTTAATGATTTCTTCTCCCCTCATAACGTCTCTAGGAAGGAGTTTTTCATCCTTCTGGAAAGGCTCTGTGCTTCTCATCGCCAAAAGTCCACTTTATTCAGATTTCCCAAGGTTTGGTAGTGTCTTTCTCCTATTCAAAACTGGGGAGATAGAATTGCTAACAGTCAGAGCAGGGCCTCCAGGACAACCAGAGTCTTTTGGCTTTTATTTAATCCCTAGGTGGCAAAATCTTTAACAATAGCTGCTTCAGTCTCATTCCATGTGCCTCATCCCCCTCCCTTTCTTTTCCATCAAGCACTTTCACTGCAGCAACACAGGGAATGAAGGTTCATTCGCAGTGCCCCATTTCTAATGCCACCACCTACTTCTTTAATTATAGAATACAAAACAAAGGGCAAGGAAGAAAGGGTCATGTTTGGAAAGTGAATAAATGTTCCTCCCTCCCAGCTTTTCTCAGCCCCCATTTTACTCTCTTTGTATTCAGATATTAAATTTCTTCTGACTCTCCAAGCGAAGGGATGATTTCGTCTAAATACAATTTCCTTTTTCTCTAAATCTGATGCCCACAGATTAACAACCAGATTATTTCTACCTATTCACAAAACAGCATTCAAGTAGCGTAACAGTTGTTCTAGAAATACAGTTACTTATCTATCCCCTCAATAAGCCACTTGTATCAGATAACATACCATTTAAAATCCAAGCTTTCTTGTCCTGTATTGAGACTGAACACTCAAGAATACAAGGAAATTAACAATGTCCTGGTTTTGAAGATAGGGAGTGGACATGAGGATTAAATGAGTGAAAGTATAACCTTTTTTTTTTTATGGTTCACATAAACCATATAACGATTGACATTTGGGTTCCTCACCAACAAATTAAAATTTAAGATAGCAGAGTAATTAAAAATGTAAAGAGTCTTTATGCATAAAGAATTCCATCAAGCCTATGGAACTGGAGAAAACATGCTCAAAATAAACAGGCAGCCAGAATATTCAGTGCTGGGTGGTAGGAGAGTGAAGAAGATAAAGGAGTATTTTAAGATCCTGTGGGAACAGATGCGCTGTATTTGCAGGCAAAAGAAACTTCATTCAACAGAATTAATCAAATCTCCTTTGTGACTATCTCCACATTCCAACTTCCTGATTGACTATTGCTGGGCTCCTCACATTTGGCTCTTGCTGAAAAGCTTTCCCCACCTCCCTACTTCACTCTCCTGTCTCCCAGCGACCCTCCTTAGGAGTTTGGCTGCTGCCCCAGGGCTTCAGAGCCCTGATCACAGGCTTAATAGCCATAGGACCATTGATGCTGCTTCTAACCCTGAGATCACAGCTCAGTTCTTTTCTCTGCTCAGTATCACATTGTGCTTTAGACAAAAAACAAAAAGGAGTCCAAAACCCCTAAGGGACTCAACACTAACACTCACACATAACGATGATAAACATTTGGGGAATATACAAATATTGAACCTTTGACTACTTAGGGCTACAATATCGTAACCTTCCAATGTATCTAGTTTCAAAAGCCACGTTCGAGTTTCTGCTCCAGTCCATCCTGTCCTGTTGTCTTCTATTGCTAGTTTTCCTAATACAAAGAGCTTAATAAGTTTAATACATTTACTTTGAAATATAGATGAAGTTCATGTATTAGTTAGAGTTGAGATCCTAAATAGTAAACAAAGAAATTCTATCTGAGATTTATGTGTATAGTGTTTAAAATAGTGTCATTTTCTGGTATTAGTTTTAAGGATCAAAGAACACTCTCAGCTAAAGCCGTACAACTATTAAAAAAAGAAATACCACAATGGAGTCAAGGATTCTGAAGCTTTGTCTGACATACTTTAGACATCCTGCAAGGTGGGATCAGTCCTTGGAAAGGAACATCATGCTTGGGAGGGTAGAGGGACAGTACATGAGAGGAAGACCCTTGATGAGATGGATTGATTCAGTGACTGGGATAATGGGGGTAGGTGTGTCAGAGATAGTAAGATTGGCACAGGATAGAGCAGGGTTCATGGCTGTTGTACATAGAGTCACTATGAGCAGGTGACTAAGTGGCGCATAACAACAACAACATATTACTTAAAAATAATGAAATTTAATTTTCCTATAATAGTTCTGATGTATAAATAATTTTTTTTCCTAAACCGGGTGGCTCCTTGGAGGCAAGGATTCTGAGGCTCCGTCTAACTTACTTTGGACATGTAGTAAGGCAGAGTGAAAGAGCAGCGCAGGAGAGGAAGGCCCTCTATGAGATGGATTGATTCAGTGACTGGCATAATTGGGATGGGAGTGTCAGAGACAGTGCGATTGGCACAGGACAGAGCGGAGTTTAGGGCTGTTGTACATAGGGTCGCTATGAGTCGCAGGCGACTCGACGGCACATAACAACAACAACAACACCTGCTGGGCTTTCTTAAAACAATCACTTCAACTAAATTCACTTGGTACCAGCAGCCAGGAAACTAAAAGACGTATTGAGATGGGAAAGTCTGCAGTTAAAGACTTCTCCCAAGTACTGAAGAGCAATGATATCACTCTGGAGACTAAGGTGTGCCTATATAGGCCATGGCCTTTGCAATCACTTGCTATGCGTCAGAGAGCTGGACAATGACTAGGGATGATAGAAGGAGAATTGATGCCTTTGAGCTGTGGTGCTGGAGAAGAGTATTGAATGTTCCATGGACTGCCAGGAAAACAAACAAGTCCATACTAGAGAGGGTTAAACCAGGCTGCATCTTGGAGGCAAGAATTCTGAAGTTTTGTTTGACATACTTTGGAAATGTTGTAAGGAGGGATCAATCCTTGGAGAGAGATGTCATGCTTTGAAGTGTGGAGGGACAACACAGGAGTTAGACCCTTAATGAGGTAGAGTGATTCAGTGACCAGGGTAATTAGGATAGGTGTGTTGGAGACAGTGCGACTGCCAAAGGATAGAGCAGGGTTTACAGTTGCTGTACATAGGGTCGCTATGAGTCGCAGGTGACTCAACAGCACATAACAACAACAAACCCTACAGGTCAATGAAATTTCATTAGCAAAGTGATTCACTCTTTTATCCATGATTGTTGCTATTCTAACACCCAAACTAACCAATGAAGGAATAAATACAAACCTCCAATGGTTTAACCAGATATTATCACAGCTGGATACGCATCAAAAGAAATGTACTTGTGATTTTAATCATCTTTGCTGCATAATTTTTGTTTTCAGATGAGGACATTTTAAGGAACTTGTAGTCTTTCAAAATGTAGAGAACTGTCAAATACACTTAATTTTATTATCTTGGTCTCCCTTTCTCTATTGTCAGAACAGTATTTTACCTCTGAGGAATATCTTACTTAATTTAATGACAGAATTATTTCTCTTTCTTACAGCAAAGTGTAGAATAATCATTAATCACTATGTATAAAAACTCTTAAATATTCAAGTGAAAGGCACTTTGACAAGCAAAGTACTAATCATTAATGCTTAGTGTCACTATCATGTCCTTACTAATAACACATCTCAAACATAACAAAAAAAAATTCACCCTAAATTCACTGCTGTCAAATTGTGTCCAACTTACAGTGATCTTTTATTGGTTTCCTAGGACTGTAGAGCCTAATTAGAGATGACTGCCCATGCATGGAGCAGTTGGTGAATTCAAACTGCCTTAAATGTACTGGCTAGCAGCTTAACAATGAGAGATTGACATGGTGATTTCAGCAATAAGCTTGAGAGTTTTCGCGGTGATGAAGCTGGCACAAGATAGGGCATTATTCGGTTGGCTATTCCTATGGTCCCTATGGGTCATATTTGACAGCGCCTAAACAATGGACAACAACAAGAGCTCAATACACTATGAACTGTGCCAACAGAGCTACATTCTCATATGAAGAAAAAATAGTTCATAGATGTATTTGTTTTGTGTTGGGGTTAGTTCTTGTGTTTGTTTTTCTATTTTTATTTTATTTTATAAGATTAGGTCAAATTTAGTAGTCTGTTTTTGTTAATTAAGTTCACAGTAATTTTGGTCTAATGGAAGGACAATTGCATGTCACACTGTTTTTGATCATTCACACTTGCTTAGAACCTTGCAATTACTTAAAGTAATTGAAGGGATGAATGAACAGTACAACTCATGAGCTCTCTAGACATCAACTTACCAGCCAGCATAGGCATACATTCCGTAATAAAAAGCCAGTGGCAATCCCGTAAGACTTGAGCTTCCTGAAAAGGCATCTCTAAAGTTCTGTGTTTGCCCTGCAATGAAAATAGATGTTAAGATATTAATAGATGAAAGAAAATATATTAATAACTTTGATGAATTGCTATTATATGTTCTTTAAACAAATATTTAACATTTTAAATACATGATAGGTTGGGATGAACTCTTTTGTCACTTTACTGTTTCAGATGACTTAGTCTTATGCCCTGTTTGATGAGTAATCCTTACTCCCTGCTTAGTGTCAATGTAATCTCTTATTATTGTGCCCATTTAAGAGGAATTCTAAACATGAAACCATCATCACTACTCCATAGTTCCCTTCTTAATAAAATTATTGGAAAAAGAAAATTACATAGGAAGAAAAAATTGGGCATGTCTAACATCTTGAGACAAATTGACTGAGAAAGAACAGTAATTTGTCCTGTAGCGACTTATTTCTGTCAAGTCATAACCAGCTCATAGCTGCCCCTCCAGCAGGTTCTTAGAGACTGTAAACCACATGGGAAGACATTGACCATCTTCCTTCTGAGAAGTAGCTGGCTGATTTCATCTGCAGTGGAAATCCTTATCCACTAAACAACCAGACTAAACAAACAAATGCACTGCTATTGAGTCCATTCTGACTCAGAGTGTCAGACAGCACAACAGAGAATTGCCCCAAAGACTTTTCCAATAATGCGATTGATTGATTGTGGCTGATGAGTTAGAACCACCAATCTTTTGGTTACAAGCTAAGAATTTAACCACTGCACCATCAGGGTTTCTTTAAAAGTATAACAGAATTCTTTTTTTTTCTTTCTATTTATTCATTGTTGTACTTTTCTCCCTGTCCAGCCCTCGCCCCCGCCCCTGCCCCCTAGTTTGCTCCTGTCTTTGAAAAGCAAAAGACAAATTATTTCTTTGGTATACAATCCCCCCGCACCCCTCCCACCGCCCCAAGTACACTCTGCTATGCAACCTTAGTTGTGGACTCTTGTGATAACTATGATATCGTATATCACTTTTAAATTATTCTCTCCCTCATCTGAGAAGTATAACAGAATTCTTAAAAGTAAAAGTTGGAAAGAACTAAAAAGGAATATCTAATGGTAAACCTTCAACAAAGAAGTAATAATTTTCTCAAGTAATTAATTTTGTTTCTGTTTTCTGTTCATTCTCTTTCCTTCTTTAGACACCTACTCTGTAGCATAAGAGTTGGCAAAATACTGCTTGTGACTCAAATCTAACACTTTCTTCTTATTAGAACAGATTCCAGCTCATGTGTTTACAAATAGTTTACAAGTGACTCTTGTGGGTAACAACAGAACCGAGTAATTGTGACAGAGTCTGAACAACAAAGTTGAACATCCTGCTATCTAGCCTTTTACAGAAGTTTGCTCATGCTTGAGACTAGCATTATTCCTTCTAAATGCATTGGAGGGGTGGAGAAACAGGGAGCTCTAAAATAGATTTTAACAAATTTTCAATATACAAGATGAGTATTTATGTATCTCAATTTTTATCTTGTATTAATCATAATTGACCTTTTCTCACATACCTTTTGAGTATTTTTTAAAATCCAATTTATTTCTATCATTTAGCAAAAAAAAAAATAGCAAAGAAAATTACCCAAATGAGAAATATTATTTTAGTCTTCATATAAATATAGAGGGAATGGAGGTGGATGGTATATACATATAAATATATCTCCCACTCCCTTTTCAAAGTTACAAATCAGTTGCTGCCTGCATTATTGTAATACTATATTTATACTCAGATACATATAAATACATGTATGATATCAAGATAAAATGCAGAAAATGTTGAATAACACAATAAATGATTTTATAGTGAGAAGTATTAAATACTAAAATAAAAAACTCATTATCATTGAGTCAAAAGTGACAAATAATTGACCCTCAATTAGGTTTCTGATGCTGTATATTGCACAGAGGAGATGGCCTATCTTTCTCCCTCAGCGCTGCTGGCAGATTCAAACCAGAAGAGAGGTAAGGCTTTGACTCCATGGAAGAGAAATCAGGGAAACTCCCCCCTTGCAATTGAAAGCATTGGAAAAATAATGGAATGTCAGCTAATAGTAAGTTTTTACTAAGGTGTGCCTAATTCAGACCATAGTCTTCACAATTACCAGAGAGCTGGATTATGATTAAGGATGACAGAAGAAGAATCGATGTCTTTAGGTTGTCATCTGGAGAAGAATATTGAACATATCATGGACTGCCAAGAGAATGGGTCTGTTGTAGAGAGGGTAAAACCAAGTTGCTCTCCGTAGTCAAGGATTTTGAAATTGTCTCACATACTTTGGGCATGTTTCCAGGAGGGACTAGTCCTTGGAGAAGGACCTTATGCTTGGAAGGGTGGAGGGAAAATGCAAAACGCTAGATGAGATGGATTGACACAGTGTCTAGTGTAATAGGGGCAGATGTGTCAGAGACAGTGAGATTGGCTTAGAAAAGGACAGGATTCAGAGCTACTCTGTATAGGGTCGCTATTAGTCGCAAGTGACTCAAATGTACATAATATCAAGATTCAATGACAATGAGACCCCAAATAAAAGCATATTTTTAAAATTATAAATTCAGAAATTAATTCTTTTTATTAAAAGTCTTTCAATGACTTTATTAAAGACAGAACAAATACTGGACTTAACCATTATTGTAGAATGAGTATAAGGACCCAAGAGGGGTTGGAGCAGGTGGAAGCAGAGGGATGAGGATGTGCAGGGGGAGGGGGAGTTAATCATGGGGTTGTACAATTTGATGTATGGGCAGATGAGGGAAATTGAAATAAAAATTGTTCTTGAAAACAATGTATTAGAATTTTGTAAATAAACTAGTAGAAAACTAAAAAGAAAGCAATCTTTTGAATATTCTTTAGTGATGATATATGGTTTCTTTGTCCTAAAACCAAACTCAACCCAAGTCCATTGCTGTTAATATCATTTGAACTTCTAGAGACCATGCAAGACAGCATAGACCCATCCCAAAGGATATCTGAGGCTGTAATTTCATGGATAGGGATGTCTAGTGGCACAATCCATAAGGATGTTGCACTGCTAACCAAAGGCTGAGCTTCTCTGACAACAGGAAGCCGTTAGTGGTTACACAGAGAAAGATAGTCAAGCATCCATCTCCCGTGTGATTTACAGACTCAGAAAATCCATGGAGAGTTAGCTATTAGTTGGTTCCAATTAGACGGCAGTGTGTTTGAGGGTTTTTGTTTTATTTTGTTCTTTTTGCTTTACTCAAATGTTTTTGAAGCAGATCACTCCCATGGAAGCATTCTACTCCCATGGAACACCTTTAGGCCAAATGACTTGACCACCACACCACTAAAGCTCATTTTCTTTGGTTGAAAGGTGGCATGAAAGGTAGTATGAAATGATAGGAGAAACTTATCATGTAAAGGCTAGACAGAAGACCAGAAGCCTTGAAGCTGAGGTGCTGGAGAAGAGTATTGGATGCAACATAGAGTGTCAAAGAATAAACAAGGCTTTCCTGCAGAGGGTGAAACCAGGTTATGCCTTGGAAGCAAGGATTTTGAAACTCCATCTCACATACACTGGGCATGTTTGTCAGACGGGATCAGTTCTTGGAGAAGGACATCATTCTTGGAATGGTAAAAAGTCAGAGCAAGAAAAGACCCTGGGTGAGATAGATTGACACGATAACAATGGATGATAAGGTTGGCTCAGGATGGGGCAAAGTTCTGAGCAAGTGTATTGGGCCACTATAAATCCTAGTTGACTTAACAACACATAACAACAATAACACAAGAGCGGTTTTTCAAAATGTAATGTTTTGGAATGTGGGGTTTTTTTGGCTGAGTTAACATAGGACACAACAGGAAAAACATCATAATATTGACAAGTAAGCTTAACAAATATTCATGAATACATACAAAACATACAGATATTTTCAGAATTTCATTAGAGGAAAAATAAATACATAATTTATATTTGCAAAGGTTTTATTTTTCTTTCTCGAATTTCATATTAATATAAAAATGTGTGAATAAGCTACAAAGAGAATTGCATTTTTTTTAGTAGTAGACAAAATTCGTTGTTGCTGTTTTTATGTATCATTGAATCCACTGCAACTCATTGTGACACAAAGCTATTCCTATTGACCACGTTGCTATGTTAAGCTATCTCATGTCGGGTCTTCCTCCATTATGCTATCTGTCCATCCACCACTTCGAGGATGATATTCTTTTCCAAAGTCTGGTCCTTTCTGGAAACATACTCAAAACATGTATGAACTTCAACATCGTTGCTACCAAAAAGCAACTTTCCAGGACACACCCATTTGTTCTTTTGGCAGTCCATGGTACGTTCAATACTCTTTTCCAGCACAACAACTCAAAGCCATCAATTCTTCTGTCATCCTTAATCATTGTCCATCTTTCTGATATAAAGTAAGTTACTTTGAAGACTATGAGCTTGGTCAGGTACTTTAGTCTCTAGGCAGATATCATTGCTTTTCAGCACTCTAGAGAGATCCATGACAGCAGATTTTTCTAATGTGATTGTCTTTTGATTTTTTAACTGCTGATGCTAAGAGTGTTGCTGTGAAATCCAGCAAGGTGAAATTGTTAATAATTTCAATCTCTTCTCTGTCTATCATGGTGCTAACAATTGGAGCAGTGGTAAGAACTTTGTTTTCTTGATGTTGAGCTTTAATTCATATTGAAGACTGCAGCCCTTGACTTTCTGCACCAAATGCTATAGGTCCTCCTCAAGTTTGGAAAGTAAGACTGTATCATAATGCAGGTTCTTGATGAGTCTTCTTCCAATCTTGATTCTACATTTCTCTTCTTAAAGTCCAATCCCCCAAATGATCTGTTATGCATGCTATTGTTGTTGTTGTTGTCAGGTGCCGTCACATAGCTTGGCACTCATAGTGGCCCTATGTACAACAGCCCTAAACTCTGCTCTGTCCTATGCCAATCGAACGGTCTCCGAAACACCCATCCTGATTACCCCAGTCACTGAATCAATCTACCTCATAGAGGGCCTTCCCCCCCTGCCCTGTCC